GTAAAAGGGGATGATAGCAGGGTTTTCCAGAGATGGCATGTAGTAAGCTATTTAAGTGTTAGCTAAATAATAAATAAACTCTCCAGGCTATGAGGAGTCAGAGAAAGTTCTGAAGCCAAGGGCAGTGTGGGAGGGGTAGCAATCTTTCTCTCTCCCTATCCTTTTCATTTTTGGATGCTGTCTCTCTTGGGGAGCATATCCTTAACCCTGTCTGGAGTCTGACTACTTCTGGATTTGTCTCTCCCCTTTGCCACAGCGGGTGCGGATGGGTCCCTCTTCCTCCCCCATCCCCTCCCCCTCCCCTAGTCCCACCGACCCCAAGCGCTGCTTCTTCGGGGCGAGCCCAGGACGCCTGCACATCTCCGACTTCAGCTTCCTCATGGTTCTAGGAAAAGGCAGTTTTGGGAAGGTTGGATTCCTGGGGTTCTGGGGGAAAGGGAGAATGTCTGCGGGAGGTCAGATTTCTGATCCTTAGGGAGGAAGTGGGGGTGGGGAGAGGGTCCCCACATATGGTTAGTTTGGGCCACTTGGGTTCCTGGAGAGGAGAGGTATAAAGATGCTGTACTTTCCCTGACGGGTGGGCAGTAGTCAGGACACCCAGTCCCTTGAGAAAGGGAGGAAGGACCTGGTATTCTGTTTCTCTGTGTCCTTGAAAGAAAGGGGCGGGGGGCAGGGTGCTGCACCACCAGGTTCCCAAACGGACTCGTCTTTTTGGACTTCTGTCCATAGGTGATGCTGGCCGAGCGCAGAGGCTCCGATGAGCTCTATGCCATCAAAATCCTGAAAAAGGACGTGATAGTTCAGGATGACGACGTAGACTGCACCCTGGTGGAGAAACGCGTGCTGGCACTGGGGGGCCGAGGTCCTGGCGGCCGGCCCCACTTTCTCACCCAGCTTCACTCCACCTTTCAGACCCCGGTGAGGAAGAACTGGGCTGAGGCCGGCCCGGAAGCCCTGACTCATACCCTTCTGGATGGATCGGGCTTCTGCTTTGGGATTCTGAGTTTAGGGCAAGGCGGAGGAACCCCTACGCGCTCCGAGTGAGCGTGGCTGGAAGGAGGGACCCTCTGTGGGCGTGGCCAGAATGCAGGTGCTCGGGGGGCGTGGCCAACCGGGTGGGATCCTGAGTGGGCGTGGCCAGAAAGCCTGTTTCCCAGGCGAGCTCGATCTTGAGTGAGTTAGCCAGTGCTCTGGATTTTTCAGCAAAGGAGCATTTGGAGGAGAATGCCTTCTGAGTGGGCGTGCCCGGAATTGGGCTGCGAGTGACGAGGTCATCACTCTTAGATTCTAGCTGAAGGACACTGTGAGAAGTGGGCGTTTCCCTAAGGTTGCAGCAAGGGGCAACGAGTCAGAACCTTCAGGATTTTCACGGAGTGTGATTCCAGGGGCTCTGAATGGGCGTGGCCAGCTTCTTGGATTTTTTTTAAAACTTAATTGCAGGTGAAGCCTGAACAACTTTTGTTCCTAATAGGTGGCCAGAATTGCATATGTTTGTGACTGGTGTGGAAAGAGGTTTGGGTTTCGGGTTTCAGGCGAATGGCATGGGCCTCGGTCTTCACTTCTGAGACGGCAGGGTCAGAACACCTGGTAGTTGGGAGCAACTGGGAAGTGGGCCAGTGGAGATTCGGAGGCTGCTGGGTTAGAACCGTAGGACCCTCCCAACAGGTGTGGATAGTTGCTCTGGATTTCTGGTTGGGTGGATCCCGAGTCTTCTACGTTTGTTCTGAGTGGGCGGTAAAGGATTTTTCCTACTCCAAGTGGGTGTGTCCCCATCTCTAAGCCCCGCCCGCTTCTCCCCAGGATCGCCTGTATTTCGTGATGGAGTACGTCACCGGGGGCGACTTGATGTACCACATTCAGCAGTTGGGCAAGTTTAAGGAGCCCCATGCTGCGTGAGTCTCAGCCAAGAGAGAAGGGAGGGGAAGGTGGAAGGGGGTACGGTCCGCTATTGACCTTCTGACTTCCCACCCGCTCTTCCAGGTTCTACGCGGCAGAAATCGCCATTGGCCTCTTCTTCCTTCATAATCAAGGCATTATCTACAGGTGAGCATCCACAGGACTTTCCATGGAGGGAAATTAGGTCCCTAGAGGGGAAAGGATTCGAACATATGGCTCCAGCCTGCTGAACTCAACCCTTCCTGCAATTCCTACCCTGCACCTCCATCCTCCAGGGACCTGAAACTGGACAATGTGATGTTGGATGCTGAAGGACACATCAAGATCACTGACTTTGGCATGTGTAAGGAGAACATCTTCCCTGGGACGACGACCCGCACCTTCTGCGGGACCCCGGACTACATAGCCCCCGAGGTAACCCTAACTCCACTGCTCTGGGCATACTCCGAGATCTCTTAGTGGGTGTATCTAATCATCTAGAATTTATAAAGGGTGAGGCCTGACCCTGGGGCCTTGTTATGAGTTCTGGGCATTTTTGCCGGGTGAGATTTCCTTTCAACATCCAGTGCAGGTAAGCTTGTGTGCTGAGCATTCTAAGCAGGTGGAGCTGGGTCTCTAAATACGTAAAGTGGGTGGGACCGGTGGATGAATATTTTGAGTGGCTCATAGGAATTCTACATGAGTAGGGCCTGTTCCCTGACCATTCTAAGAGGGTGGAGACTATTTCTAGTGTACTCTGAGTGGGTGTGGCCTGTCCCCTGAGAACACTAAGCCTGCGAAGGCTGTCTCCTGAATATTCTCACTGGGCAGGGCTTTCCCTGGAGTATTTAATTTGATGAAAGTTCATTTGATAAGTATTGTACATGGTTCTTTGATCTAAATGGGCTGGACTTCTGCACCGAATATTCCAAGAGGGCAGGATCAGATCTCTAAGAACCGTGGCAGAGCAGATGCTGTCCTCTGAGTACTTTAATTGGGCAGAGTATTGCTCTGACTTGTTAAAGGGGGTGGAGCTGATGTTCTGAATGTACATATACATGGATAGATCATGTGTCCTGACTTTTCTAAATTGGGGGAAGAGGTTGTGTTGGTGGTGCTGTTCCTCTAACTTTTCAAGTTATTGGTGCTAGTGCCCAAGTAATCAATGTCGGTGATCACAAAACCTGGCTGGTAATCAGAATCACCTGTGGAAAATTTGAAAAACGCACACACATTCCTGCCTCTGACTCTGACCCATTGGGGCTGGAATTGTTTGGGGCTGGGAACATCTATTTTTATGTGTTTTTTTTTTTTTTTAAAGATGACCGGTAAGGGGATCTTAACCCTTGACTTGGTGTTGTCAGCACCATGCTCACCCAGTGAGCTAACCGGCCATCCCTATATGGGATCCGAACCCGTGGCCTTGGTGTTATGAGTACCGCACTCTCCCGAGTGAGCCACGGGCCGGCCCCCGGAACATCTATTTTTAAAACAACCTCTTCAATTAATCTTATATGCATCCAGATTTAAGAATCTCTGGTCTCTGAAATTTAGCCTTCTTCACTTGGTATTCAAAGCAGAGGATCCAGTTACCCACATATTCTAGGTGGACGGAACTTGTGACTTGGCCCTTAGGTAGTCTTTATATTTGAGACCAAAGGAGTGTTCTAAGTAGGTAAGCTTTGTTTCCCGAATTTTCGAAAGGGTGGAGCTCTGGCCAAACTATTCAGAGTGGGAAGAGCTTGTGCTGAAAGCACTTAAAGTGAGTAGGGCTCCCAGGAGGTGAGGCCAGAGGGGTCTTGGGCTTTTTAAAGAACAAACCACGATTTCTTGCTTTCCATTCTCTCCTTCCCCTTACCCTCCCCCCACTCCCCCAGATCATTGCATACCAGCCGTATGGGAAGTCTGTCGATTGGTGGTCCTTTGGGGTTCTTCTATATGAGATGTTGGCGGGACAGGTAAGGGAAGATGGGAAGAAACTGGCTTGGCTAAAGGCAACATGGAGTGGGGCACCACCTGTTACACGACCTTTGTCACAGGAGGAGCAAGTTAGAAGGGAGATGTATTGACTGGTTCAGTATACTGAGCCAAAGGAAAGGTTGTGCTCGGATAGCGCTGTCCGTGGTTCTGAAGCATTATCCTTCTATAGACCAGGGGTTCTTAGCTTTATACGTATGTAAACACACCATGAATCTCTTCTCCCTACATGCTAAAGTAGCAGTTTGGTGAAGCCTATGGACCTTTTGTCAGAACAGTATTTTTAAATGCACAAAATAAATTATTAGGATTATAAGAGAAATCAATCATATTGAAATGTAGTTATCAAAACTTAAAAAGTGTAATTGAACTCCCTTAACCAACTAAATTAATTAAAATATATACAGTTGTCTAAATATTAAAAATTGGAATATGAACATATGTGCATTTTTTATTAATTCATTAAATAGTAAACTCTAATGGTAATAGGAAGTAAATAGGGCATCTAACAGTAATTTTGAAGTAGGAATGACTGATAATTTGAGATATCTGCAACTCTCTTGTGATAAAAAAAAAATCTGTGGTTTCTATTGGTGATGAAGTCACAAGTATTGCTGCTGTAGTTTGTTGCCTACATTCATAATTAAAGGAAATACTAAATTTCAGTTAAGTTTTAAAAAAATAAAGATGCAATTTTTCTCCCATCCAAATTCACGGACCCTTCAATTATATGCACAGACTTCCTAGATTCCACATTAAGAATCCTTGCCTCAGTATTGCTTTTTCTAACCCCAGAAGACTGAGAACCACTTATTCACCCAGGAGAATGCTTTTTTGGTCTTTCCTGCAGTTGTTTTTCTCTCTTCTATTTAAATGACATATTGCCTAATTAACACCGGGCTGATTTACATAGCAGATAAAGAGAGGCAGAACAGCAAAGAGATATACAGAGCAGAAGTATCTGAGACAGGAAAGTGAACAGTCTGAGAGGAAGAAAGATAAAGCTTCGGTAGGTTGGTCAGATCTCTCCCTAGGAAGCTTTGGTGGGGTTAAGAGGAGCTTGTCATTGGTCAGTTGTATTCATGGTGGGCATTGAGGGTGTGGAAACTTAGCAAGTCTCTGAATCTTTATCCCCTCTTTTTCCATAGCCTCCCTTTGATGGGGAGGATGAGGAGGAGCTGTTTCAGGCCATCATGGAACAAACTGTCACCTACCCCAAGTCGCTTTCTCGGGAAGCCGTGGCCATCTGCAAGGGGGTGAGAGCCCCTGACTCCCGCTTTCTCCAGACTGAGAACCGTGCACCCCATTTCTGTCTCTGTGCCCATTAGAGAAAGGCCCCCATTCCTCAAGTCACATTACTTCCATCTGCTGGAAAGGTTGATATAATGCACAGATTTTGTCTGAACAACAATTTACTGCCCTGCTGCTACCTCAGGTCTCTATTCCGTCCTTCTCTGCTGCCCCCACTCCCCAGCTCACTGCAGGAAAAGCTGAAAGGCCAGGGCCTGTCTTTCCAGAACTAGGTGGGTCAGGTAAACCTAACTCCTGCAGCTTTTCTTCCTGAGGGTCTTAGATGAGTCACTAAAACTCTGTGAGCCTCAGTCTCCTCTTCTGTGGTTGTGGACTTAATGCAGGAGAAAGTGCCTTTCCCAAAACAGGTTTTCAACAAACGTTAGCACATTTCTGCTTCTAGCTTCTATCTCCATGTCTCTCTGACTGTCTCTCTCTGGGTTTTTGTCTCCTATCTCCATCTACATATGATGGGGCTTTCTATGTCTCTACCCTTTCTTGGTGTTTACTTCTGTATCTCTGTCCACCCTTTTGCATCTTTGTTACTCTGTCTCTGGGTCTCTGTTACCCTCTTCCCCCCACTCTCATACACACACTCTTTGGATCTCTCTCTTCCTCTCTTTCTGACCTCTGCCCTCGTATCGGATCTTTATCCCTCTCTCTGGCTGTTTGTCTCCTGGGTCTCTATCCTTCTATCTGTCTGGGTTTCTCACCCCTGGGCTCTCCTATGTCTCTTCCCTTCTCTGGGTCTCCACTCTCTCCCTGGGGTCTTTGTACCCCCCTCTCTGAATCTTTGTTCCCCCCTTTCTCTGGGTATTCAATGTCTCTCTCTCTTCTCTCCATCCCCTTCTGGAATTCTTTCCATGTCCCCCTCCTCTCTTTCTGGGTTTCTCTGCCTCTTACACCCTCATGCCCCGATTTTTTTCTCTTTCTCTCTCTGTCCCTGGGTCTCTGGGTCTGGATTTTGTCTATTCTCGTTCTCATTTATTTTCACTCTTTCTTTTACTCTCCACCCCCCACCCCCCTGGTCGCTGGTTCCCCTTGCTATTCTCTCTCTGCATCTCTCTGTCTGTGCTTCTTATTTCTTATATCTTTGTCTTTCTCCTTCTTGTTCTCTCCCCCCCCCACACACACAGTTTCTGACTAAGCACCCGGGGAAACGTCTGGGCTCAGGGCCAGATGGAGAACCCACCATCCGTGCACATGGCTTTTTCCGCTGGATCGACTGGGAACGGCTGGAACGGTTGGAGATCACTCCTCCGTTCAGACCCCGTCCGGTCAGTCACCCTCCCACAACAAAACCTTGGTCCGTCGTGGAATGGGGTACCCATGAGCATCAATACCTCAATGTGGAGGTGGGGTGGGGTTTCCTCTGCGGAGATCCCCTTAAAGGGAGGTGCAGAGACCGTGAAGGATGTGTAGACATTCTGCAAGAGACGGGAGAGGGATACAGGGGGACAGACACTCAATACCCACCTTAACTTTTCCTCCCCACATTTCCCACAGTGTGGCCGCAGCGGCGAGAACTTTGACAAGTTCTTCACGCGGGCGGCGCCAGCACTGACCCCGCCAGACCGCCTAGTACTGGCCAGCATCGACCAGGCCGATTTCCAGGGCTTCACCTACATTAACCCCGATTTCGTGCACCCGGACACCCGCAGCCCCACCAGCCCAGTGCCTGTGCCAGTCATGTAATCTCACCTGCCGCCACTAGGTGTCCCCACTTCCCCCTCCGCTACGCCAGCCGTAGCCCTCACTTTACCACCCCGTTCCCAATACTAGATCCTGCACCCCAGCGTCCTGGTCTCTGCCCCCACGGGTTCTAGATGCCCCTCCCAAACGTTCCTGGCATTCTAAACTCCATACAGTCTCTAGAGCCTTCCCGCGTTCTAGATTCTGCTGTACTGAGCTCTATATTCTCCCCACCTGAGCATTCTGGACTCTGCTCAGAACCAGTTCCAGAACCACCACCACCATCCCAACTTCGTGGTGTTCTAGACTCCATCTCGATAGTTCTATGCCTCTCCTCTCCGTCCACCCCCCCCCGGAAGTAGTCTCATGGGGTTGGCTGTTCCAGACTCAGATTCCAGAACAACACCCAACCTCCAGGCCCTTCCCACCTCCACTCCAGTTCTAGAGTAAGTGGGAGGCTGTGCCCCCTTGCTCCGGTACTTCCCTCTTCTATGCTCTGGGGATTCCTAGGATGTATGGAGGATTCTTACCCCAACTGTTCTCAATCAGCATTTGTTCTAGACTCCCCCATCCCAAACTTATCACTGCTCACCTGCCCTGCCCCCAACCCGTGCATGGCTCCAGTCTTGCTCGGAACCACCCCCTTCCCTCCCCAGTGCCTGCCACTTTCTGGGACTCTCCCTCTCCCTCCTCACCCGGCCACACCTGCTGGAGAATAAATTTGGGTTGCTGATGCTGAAGTGTTCGGATGTTTTCTTGTAAGCTTGGAGACTGAAGGGGGTGTGGAGGTGGGCGAATGACTGTACATAGAAGCAAACATACAGAGAGACAGAGGCAGGGGGGCGGTGAGCAGAGAGAGAGAGAAAGCACAGAGACCCATAAAGTGAAAGAGAAGATACCCACAGCATGAGAGAGCAATAGAGACCCCTAGGAGAGCTGAGATACAGAGAAAGCGGGGG